AAGGATAGAACATGAGTAGTGCATAACCTGTCAGACAATGGCCCATCCAGCCCGAGATTTTGTCTGGCAGTATTCTAAAAGAAGGGATGGAAGTTATTGGGTGGGTGGAGGGGACTGGGAATCTACCTTGGTGCTAGTGTTTCTAAATTTTGCCAAATGACTTCATCTCTCAGAGACTCAATTTTCTGATCTGTAAAATGATGGAGTTGGACCGGGCTATCTAAAAAGTTCTAAAAAGTCTAGCATCCACAACGCTTCACTCTTTCTCCCCTTCCCCCAATGTCTTTTTTGTCAATGTAGACAAATAGGGATGTGTAGGGAAAACAGCAATGAACTTGAAGTCAGACCCAGGTTCCTCCCCTGGCTCCTACATGGAAAGGCATTCTCCCAGAGCTTCCCTTCCTCACCTTTAAATTGGGGCGATGACACTTTCACAATGTACCTCAAAGGCTTCTTGAGAAGCAAAGTACTTTGTAAACCTCAAATCATTCTAAACATGTAAGTTATTATTGCGCTCTGGTTCCACAATCAACCCAAAGTGTTCACTGAACACTAGATGTGGCGGCATCATGACTTGATCGACTCTAGACTTCCAATGCTGATACATTTGTCCTTCTCATATACAGAACCAATCACAGATCTCTTAGGATTGTCAGTGTTGAGTTGGAATGAACCTCGATGACCATTTACTCTGCAACTGTTTTACAGAGAAGGACCCTGAGCCAGAGTGGGGTGAGGCGACTTGTCTGAGCTGCCCACGTCGTGTCATGGGTACCATGTGAAATTAAATCTTCTGACTCCAAAGCCAGTACTCTTCCCATTCTACCTCCCACCTTTGCTGCTGGGTACTGGCACAGCCTGCCCTGTGCCTGGAACATACTCTGTATTCATCTCTGTCTTCTGAAATATTTCTCTCGAAGGCCCAGTGCAGGTGTCACCTTCTCCATGAGGCCTCTCCTGATGTTCCCACCCTAGCCACAGTTGAAATTATTTCTTCCTCGGTTTTTTTTTAAGTTGTGCTGTGTCTGGATCCCTCCTTTGCACTTCTTACATTCTCTCTAGTATGATACATATTGGTCTAGTATATGTTGTGTGTACAATGACTCCTTCCACGTAAGCTCCATGAGAGCAGGAACTATCCTGCGTCTCCAGCTCTTAGCCTCATGCGTTCTAAGTTTGATAGATACTTAACAAATGCTTATCGACGGATAGCATTATAGAGTGGAGAGGACACAGAATCAGGAAGACCTGGGTTAATGGCCCACTTTAGACACTTACTAGTTGTGTGATCCTGAGAAAATTACAACCTTTCTATAAATGCTTTTCTTCATCTATAAAAAGAAGGGGTTCAATGTGATGGCTTTCATCAAATTTCATTTCAGCTCTAAATATAAATCTATGATCTTTTGATCCTATGATGTGTCTTCCCCATTCAGTAGCCCCCACCTTGACTCTTTAATCTGGCATCCATAGGCCTCCATAACCTAACTCTAGGCTTTTCTCTCCAGCCTTCTCTCCCACAACCCCCCTGCACATACTCTACCTTCCAATCAATTGGACAACATACCGTCCTCCAAACACAACCTATAGAGCCTTACTGCCAGGACTTTACTGCTTTCTACAACTAAAATGTCTTCTGCCTCTCAATGCCCAGCTCTAAATATCAACATACTTTAATGTCCAGTTCAGATTCTCCCTACTGTGGAGGTTTCTTTGATCACCTTGGCTGGAAGTAATCTCTTATCTAATTTCATGACATTTTGTGTAGACTCTGGAGGTCCTTATCCCTACCTCTACATACATGGACAGATTGGGTCCCCAGAAGGTGGCTACTAGGGCTTGAAAGTAGCCCAGAAGGATTTAGGGGTATCTTTCTAATGTTATAGCTCATGAGCACCCTTCCGGTGTGTTTCCTTGTGATTATTGGTTGATATCAATTAGTCAGTGAAACTCAGTTAGTTGTCCAAAAGGAGGATTTACTGAGATGGTATAATTGGTACATGTGGTACAAATATTTCCCCCAGAGGCCTGTGCCATACCCTTCCGTGGGTACGTACAGAGAGCATGTGTGCCAAAAGCATAATTAATGGAGTCTTCAAGGTGTTGCTCCCTAGGTGTACTGTATGGCCTATTTGTTCTAGGCTCCCATTGCAAATGCTGCTGTCAGCCATTCTGGGGATGCTGAGGGAAAAATTCAAATTCTCTGGACACTTCCATGCTCAAGCAACTTCTTCAGCCGAGGTGGCAGGGGTAGGAAGGATCTCTGTTCTCCCCCACCCCCACCCCCATTGGCTGCTTCTCAGAAGTTTAGCTGAGACATTCTCTCCTCTCTGCCTGCCATGCACTCAAATCTCCAATGCCAACTAGCTTGATGGTTTTCTACAGGCTGAAGAGGGTGTGGCAAGTCCCTCAGTCATTAGGAACAGACTTCCTGTTGTTCCTAGGTACACTTTGTGAAAAATCAGGATGAGTTCTCACCTGACAGAACTATCAGGGTATAGCCTCTTATCACTTACCTTAAATGGGAAGAAGCGAGTTGATTGTTTTACTCAGTTGCCTCCATCCTTGCACCCCTTTTGTATACTTATTTTATCATAATTTGTATTCTAATTATCTGTTGCCTTGTATTCTCTCCCCAACTAGACTGTCAACCCACTGAGAGAAGGAACTGTTTCTCATTTATCTTTGCTTCTCCTACTTCCCATCATAGTGCTTTTCATGTAGCAGGTGCATAATAAATGTTTATTGAATGAATGAAGGGTGTACAAGGAAAAGATAATGCTATGTTTAATTTCCAGGGTTTTTTCTGATGATCCTCAGCATTTTGTTGGCCTTTCTAGTGGCAAAATCCTGGTCTTAAGTCTTCCCTGATTCCTTAATCCATTTCTCGGATTGCTACTCTTGGTACAATTCTACAATTATGGCTTGTTTTATTTTTCCTTACTACCTCATACTTTTTCATATTGAAGCTTGCCTGCCATATTTCTTCCATTGTCTCATGAGAACTTCCTGCTTTATCTCTCCATTGGCTTGGCATTTCACCGTTCTGAAGGCCTTAGTAAATATAGTAGGGTGGGAACAGGTATTTGTGTGATGTTGAAAAATTGTACCCCTGGGAGATTACTGTCCACCAGACATGCTGAGCCTTCATTGTTACATGTGAAATGTGACTTCTTTAATACTTCAAGGGATTGGTGATTTCATCAGCCTGGATACACCTTTCACATTCATTTCCTCTAATCCTGTGCAATTACTCTACATGTCTTGCCATAATTCACCATAGAGGATCATCCAGTGAATCACAGATTTTTGTCTGGTTGTTCTGTAACAATATATTCTTATGGATACCATTGCAACTCATGGGCTATCCACCCCTGTCCATCCCTTATCCTTGCAGTATGACTGGCCCACTTCCTTTTCTGGTCACACTAGTTCCTAATAATGTCTTCCAGGTCACATCATGCATGCAAGTAATTGTTGGAAATACACTGCCACCTCCTCCTTTGCCACGAGTCTCTCCATTTACCACTTGGAGAGTAGCCCTTGGAATTTTTCTTCTTCTAGGACCATAGTGCGCCCATGACTTACAGCCACATGGCATCGACAGAAGAATATTGTGTGAAAATGGTGGGCTGTTATGATGAGGACCAATGTCACATAACTGAAATTGCCACAGGGTTCCCCCAGCACAGTCTCACTCAGGTCCATCCCTCCCATTCAGTTCTGGGTTTGAGTCATGTCAGCAACTGAGTTATACGTTCTGGTGAACCACCTCAGCAAGCCACCCATTCAATTGCATGTTCTTTTTTCCACTGGGAACCTGTGGTGTGAGTGAAGTGGGGGACTCCAACTGTGGAACCTCCCTCCACTGATATACGTTGGCAAGTCAGAGTCTTAGAGAGTTGTCTGGGGGGCACTGAGAGGTTAAGCCCAATGTCACACATCTAGTATGTATCAGTAGTAGGAGACAGGTCTTTCTGGCTCCAAGGCTGACCCTCGGTCCACTAGCCTGCTTTTCATCCCCATTGCACGTCTGAGTCTGGCAGACCTATGTTAATGCATCCTCCCAGATCTCACTGAGGAAGCCTCGTCATCTTGGGGCTTGTTGAAATGAGCATAGTATCATCCATGGGCGGAAAGATTTGTAGAACTTCTTGGGGCTCGAGGAATTGCTTTTGCAGCTGTACTTGGCGCGTGATGTCAATGATCCTGATAAACTCTTTTGGTGAAAACCTGTGGACATATGTTCCTTTTGCCCTGCTTGATGTCTCACGCAAATAAGAGGATTGAGCACTGGAAAAGACATTAGAGATCGTGTAGTCCAGCCCCCTCATTTTGCAGACGGGGAAACTGAGGCCCAGATAGACCAGATCCCACACACAGTAGCAGAACTGGGATTCAGTCCCACATCCTCTGACTTCATCCAGTGCTTTTCCATCATGTCATGCTACTTTTCAAAATAAATAGCTATACTAAAGCCATAGAGGGTCCGAGTTTTAGCATTAAAATATGTACATTTATTTTAAAAATTATTAAAACGGTCTCTAATTGCACCCCCATGTTGTACATCAGGCAACTGCCTACCTTGCCTAGGATTATAGACTTTCAGACTTTAATCTGAATTCCTCTACCATCTCCTTTACGAAGAAATGAAATAATACAAGGCTGAGCATTCATTCTGAGGGGAATCTCTCAAGCCAGAAAGCACAGAGGAAGAAGAATAAAGAGGAACCTGGGGCCTAGATCATTCACAGCCTGGAAAATCAGGCCCTAAATAATTTAGGGTTGGTTGTATTCATATAGACAAGGGTCCAAGTTGGTATCTTTACAGGAAAATTACCTTTAGAGGAAAAAAACAATGCACTACCCTTAGAAAATAAAGCTATGACTCAGAAGAAACTAATATTATTGCTTAGATGACCTGGGGGCATTATTAGACTTCTCAGAGTCTCAGTTTCTTCATATGTAAAATATCAATACTTGTACTATTTCCCTTCCAGGAATCCCATGAGGATCAAATGAAGGTAAGTGAAAGTGCTTTATAGTCATGGACTCCCCTCCCCGCCCCATACCTCCATCCCCTACCCCCAGCACCCCTTCACGTAGAAGTGAGGGTTGTTGATGAGGATGATAATCGTTTTCTGGTGTAAGTTTCTCAGGTTTAAGACTCTAAAGAGGTTTCAAATAAAAGAGTTAATTCCAGTAAGAGATTTTTTTAGGAAGGGACTCAAACATCTCTTGTGAGAACTCCCCCAGCTGTCCCGCAGAGTTTTCTAAACAACAGAATTAAAATCCAGCAAACATCACCAACAGAGGCCACTCCTCATTTATAAGAAACGTGTGAAGATGAGAGAACCTATAATGACACAACCAGTGAATTGATCATCTCTTCAAGTGAGAAACAGTTGTGATTTACTTCTTCACAGTCAGTTTTAAATTAATTTTAGGACTAATTTTAAAATGGGATTTGTGTTATTAGTTCTCAAAACAAAAAAAGTGTGTAATCGAGTGTACTTCTCTCCCTCCCCCCCCATGGCTGTAGGAAGAAACCATTTGAGGGAGGCTAGAAGTATTTCCATCTCAAATTAGAAAACATTGTTTTTGAAAGATGTGCTGTTTTTCCCAATTCACCTAACAATTGAGGGGTTTCTTAATAGACATGTAAATTGTTTAAGGGATCATGTAAAGTAAAAAGCGCCATCACCAACCTTTGCCTGTAAAGCCAAGATGACATTTGAGTATATTCTAGCAAGGGTCTTTTTTGAGGTATAGATTGAACTGATTGGTTCATATGATTCCATACAGATTGACTGATGAGGTCCCGTCCAGGTCTGAAATTCAGTGATTCTTTGATAACTTCAGATGCTTAACCAGTGGGAAAGAAGCACTTTCCAGTGTTTTCCTTCTTGGACTACAGCTTCTTCTTTGTATTTTGCAGGTCAGCAAGAAAAAAAATAACATGAGTACATTAACAAATGGGACAGTGAAGAAGAAAAGTACAAACTTGAGGCCCTCTAGTAATGTGAGTACATTTTTAATGAAATAAAATGACTGCATTTTCTATTCTGATCATATTGTACATATCAAATGCATTTGAAATTCTGTTCCCAAGATGTTTTCAGATTGGAACAAGAGGGGACCTACCAGCTTTCGGTATAATTTGGGTAGACAATGGATTTTTATGAACTGATTGTTTCTAATAACATTCACCTCTTGGTGAACACTACAATAAAAGTGTATACCATGTACTATTGCCCCGACCAGTGCTGTTTTACAGTAATTACAGTAATTGAAACATTATTATCTTAATTGGACATTTTGGAGAGGTGGAATGCTGTGTAGCAGTGAGTTTCGTCTTGGAGTCAGGAAAGCTGGTTTTCTTTCTCAGATTGGTCACTTGCTAGGTGGGTGACTTTGGGCAAGTCACAGCTTTTCTGGGATAATGACACTCTCCCTGACGAGTCTTACGAGAGAAGCCTCAAGATGCTACTGTTTTTATAAGTAAACCCCACTGTAATATTGTTTGACCAGTCACCTGAGTGTTCCCAGCTGACTTCCTTAGTCTAACTGCCCCATCAATGTGATTTTCCCCCTCACGTTCCATTTTCATAAACCCAATTAATAATATTAGGCATGCTATATCTGCACTCCACAAAGCAACTAATCCTTAAATAGAGAGAAACAATTTGTGTGTGTGTTCTCCTGCTGTTGCGAAAAGTAACTAAAGTCTTTAGAACCCTTTAAAAAACCTTAAAATCACATCCACCTTTTGAAAGAAAATCCAGGAAAGCAAATCAACCATTCCTTTGGAGTAAAACACTATAGGAAAGAGGATTTTTTTGTGTGTGGTTTTCAAATCTTTACTTGTAATAAACAGACTGTTTAAAAAGTATTGGCTCAAGTATCAGGTCATGCTATTAGAAAGTACACTAGGGATGGCTTCCCTGGTAGGCAGATGTTTAGTGATATCTGTAAGGTTGCTCCAAGTTGTCCCATTCTACTAATCCCAGTTATCCAGATGAACTGTGCTAGGCGCAAGCCCTGTCCCCTTGCTACCTCTCCCTGTATTCTCCCTCCTGTTCACTCTATCTTTTCTACTCCCTACTCTTCAATATTTTTGTCCTTAACCTGGTGTGAAAGGCCCTCCACAATCTTGCTCTACCTATCTTTACAGCCTTATATCGTGTTCTTCTCTTCCATGAACTCTACACTCAAGCCAAATGAGATTACTCATGGCCCTTGTATAGACCCAAGACTTCCCCACTCTATGCCTTTGCTCATGCCATTTCTTTACCTGGTGTGCCCTCTCCACCTTCATCTCTGCTTTCTCTACTCTTTCCTGCCCATCTTCTCTGCTGTGCCCTTGGGAAACCATTCCATTGTTGATAAACTCCTCGTCATCCTCGAGCTGTTCCCTGCTGCATTCCTTCTGCCAGCTTGCATTTATTGAAATGGGGCTCTCTTCTGAGGGCTCCAAATCTGTGGCAGCCCTCTCCATTGTTGGCTGCTCACTCACCCTGCTCCTGGCAAGGCCTGGTGAGGGAATTAGCATAGTCACAGTCTCCATGTCACTCTGCAGTCACTGCTACATCCAAGTCTGTGCTCTGCCAACATCATTTAATAGCCTTTTCTCTTTTAAAGTTCATTTCATTCAACCATTCCACCTTCCCCCAAGTCTAGTCTATGCCATCAGCTAATCTCTTGGATTCTTTCCCATCTTTTCCCATTATTTTGGTACCTGGTTCACTTTTCCTTTCCATATCTTTTCTTATTATTATCATCCTAGAGACTTCTGACAGCTAATCTTCCTCAGCTCCTATTTATCTATTCTATTTCAGCCACCTACTAGGGTAGTTACTCTTTTTTGTTGCTGAGTCATTTTCCATTGTGTCCAACTCTTTATGACCTTATTTGGAGTTTTCTTGGCAGAGATACTGGAGTGGTTTGCCATTTCCTTCTCTAGCTCATTTTACAGATGAGAAAACTGAGGCAAACAGGGTTAAATGACTTGTCCAGAGCCACATAGCTAGTAAGCTTCGAGGTCGGATTTGAACTCACAAAGAGGAGTCTTCCTCACTCCAGCTTCTGAGCTACTGTGCCACTTAGCTGCCCTATGCTTTCGACCTCACCATTCCTTGAAACTCCAATATATGGGGCCATGGAATTCTCCTTTCTTATTGCAATCTTCTACCCTTGCAGTTCTGCTCTGTTATTCTTTCCATATTTATTATTTTTCCCCTTTCAGTAATTTTTGTTCCTTGATTTTTCCTTATTATCTCATAATATTAGCCCTGTTCTTGCCTTACATAGTCTTGACTCTATGATCCAGTATTCCAATAATGCCTTTTCCTCTATTCTTAGCTCATTCCCTGACCTCTCCCATTCAAGCGTAAGTACCTTGAGAGCAAAGTGTGTGTTCAGTGTATTTTTGTATCTTTTGTCTGGCATAGGACCTTACAAATAGCAGAATCTTTTTTTTTTTTAGGCAATTGGGGTTAAGTGACTTGCCCTGGGTCACACAGCTAGTAAGTGTCAAGTGTTTGGTCTGAGGCCAGATTTGAACTCAGGTCCTCCTGACTTCAGGGCCAGTGCTCTATCTACTGCACCACCTACCTGCCCCCTTAAATAGCAGAATCTCAATAAATGTGTATTGAGCTGCATGCTCTGTGTAAAGCATCCAGGGACAGAAGGTTAGTATAGTCCCTGCCCTCATGAAACTTAGGATATAGAGGAAGAGAATGAGATTGGAGGATGAGACTGGGCTATCCAATAACCCTAGTATGGGACAAACCATGATACTAACCCAAGCCAAGGGCAAAGTGTCAGAAGAGATAAGAGCAAGGAGAGAGAGCATTTCTGAGTAAGGGAATTGTGGAAACCTTTTTGAAAGAAGTAGCACTTTAATTGGGTCTTGAAAGATGAGGAGAGTTTCATAAAGCATAGATGAAGGTGGAAAGGGCATACCAGGTAAAGAAATGGCATAAGCAAAGGCATAGAGTGGGGAAGTCTTGGACCTATACAAGGGCCATGAGTAATCTCATTTGGATTGAATGTAGAGTTCATGGAAGAGAAGAACATGATGTAAGGCTGGAAAGGTAGGTAGAGCAAGGTTGTGGAGGGCCTTTCATACTGGGTTAAGGACAAAAATATTGAGGTCAGCACTACTGGGTAAGTCTGGTTTAGGGGAAAGATTACAGTTTGTCTAAAACTGAGCTTGAAGTGTTATGGAGATGGAATTGGATTAGAACTGGGACTCTAGAGCTCAGAAGAGAATTCAGGGCTGGAGATATGGAATCAGAAGTCATCTGAATAGAACTAATATGTGAAGTTATGAGAGTGAATGAGATTGTCATTGAGTCAAGTCAAGGTCCTCCTTCCTCTTTGTACCCTGCTCCTGCCTTCCTGGACTTCTTTCTCCACCATGCTGCAGCAGATGCTTACCCTGGAAGCTGCCTTAACCACCATGCTCTAGCAGTCTTCTCATCCTAGAAAGTCCCTCCACCTTCTTCCTCTGCCCCTGAGGCCACTTCCTCTGATTGGTCACTTCTTCCTGGAATCTCCAATTTAAGAAAGGGCCCCCAGGCCAGCAATGTTCACTCCTAAATTCCTCTCCAAGTCCTATCCCTATGTCTCTGGACATCTTTTTGTTGTTGTTGTTTTGGTTTTTGCCTTTTTGGTGAAGTAAGCAGGGTTAAATGACTCACGCAGGGTCACATAGCTATACGTGTTATGTGTCTGAGGTCAGATTTAAACTCAGATCCTCCTGACTCCAAGGCTGGAGCTTATCCACTGCGCCACCTGGCTGCCCCCTGAACATCTTTCTTTGCCATGCCCCATGAGATGACCTTTGGACAATGTTCACGTTAAGCAGCTTGGTGGTGCCACGGATAGAATATTGGACTGGAGTCAGAAATGCCTGAGTTTAAATCCTGCCTTAGACACTTAATAGATATAACCTTGCTTAAGTTATTTAATTTCTCTCCATCTTCATTTCATCATCAGTAAAATGGGGATAATAACAGCATCTACCTCACTGAGTGAAGATTAAATAATAATATACATAAAGCAATATATAAAGGTTAGTTATTATTATTAATGGCATATAGAACTTTTGTGAAGAATCAGCTAGCAAATGAGGCAGAAAAGGCAAAATCAGAGAGATGAGAGGAAAACCAGCTGCATATGGCATCACAGAAGCCCTTTCTTCATGGTCTCCTCTTTCCTGGCAAAGGTCATCTCATGCCCTCCTCTTCTCCATACCCTGTGCTTTGGCAATCTCACATATTCCTGAGACTTCTAAGATCAGTTCTATGTAGATGACTCTCAGATCTATCTCTCCAGCCCTGACTTCTCTCCTGAGCTCTTCACCTACAGTTCCAATTAATCGTATCCCTCTGGTCTTCCCCCTATAAATTCCGTGAGGTCAGGGATTAGCTAAGTCTCATTCTGTTGATGAATGTTTTTGCATGTAGCATATAATTCAACACACATTTATTAAGATCCTGCCATTTGCAAGGTCCTATGCCAGGCAACAGAGTTAAAAAGACAGATGGGACATAGAACCCCCACTTCCCATAAAGAAGCTTATCATTATATAGGTTAGGGAGGAAATATTTGCAAACAACTATAATACAAGGGAGAATAAATGACACTGTGGTCAACTGTCTCGAATGCTATAGAGCGATCAAAGAAGAAAGGGACCAAGAAGAGGTCTGAATTTTTGGTGATAGGACTTGGGTGACCTTTGAGAAAGCAATATCAATAACAGTGGTATAGAAGGGTTTTAGTACCCTGCCCCCTACGGTGCTCTAGAAATTAGCTGCATTTAATAGATCTGGATAAAGAGAAAGAAATCTTCTTGGGTGGGGATGGGTAGAGGGGAGGAAGAAGATGACAAAGTCCAAAGCAATGAGCATTGCTTAGAACAAAGCTAGGAGTTCACAGAAGCAGCTAGTGTAGATGACTAGATTAGGAGTAAACTGAGTCTAGGAGAAACCTAGATGGCTCACCCCACTATTGGTAATCTGGAGCTGGAGAACAAATGTCCCAACTTTCATAAAAAAGGAAAGAGAATGAATCCAGCAAACTTTAGGCTAATAAGCTTTACTTCTGTTGCTAGGAAAATTCTAGACTATATTGTTAAAGAGATGGTTTGTGAGCATTTAGAAATAGAAGTGATAATCACCAAGAGTTAACATCACTTTGTCAAGAAATAGGTCATGCAAAATAAATTGTATTTCCTTTTGGCAGCTAGATCAAGGGATATAGAATACTGAGGCTCCAGCAAAGCATTTGACAACCTCACATGCCATCTAAGTGGTTCAGAAACAGGAAATGAATTTCCCAAGGTCATCCCAGTAGAAAGTATCTGAAATGAGGTTTGAATTCAGGTCTTTGGATTATCTTTTCTGCTTCCCCATGTCGTAAGTAAATGGCAGCATGGTGGATTGACTGCTGGACAAGGATCAGAGAGACCTGGGGTCAAATCCTGATCTTGGACAAGCCACTTAAAACCTCAGTTCCCTCGTCTGTAAGATGAGAGGTTTGGATTCTTTAATATCTAAGGTCCCTCCTACTTATTGTCTGCCCTATGAACCCCAAAGCCTTGGTGACTGAAAGTTTATCACATGCATGGTATCAACCTGGAATTGTTTTCTTTTATAATGGTAGGGGTAGCCATGCCTGTTCCTCCCTCAGATGGTGGTCAAACAAGGGAGATATCAAATGTAGATAACTTTTAAGGAGTTCGGCAATGAAAAAGAGCAGAAATATGAAATATTAGAAGGGTCAAAAGAAAGGTTGGGTTTTTTTAACGAACATGAATTTACTGTGATTTAGTTCCCACTTAATTGCCAACTACTTGTGTAGTTTCCTTAGAACACCAAGATACAATAGGAGAGAGTCCCTTCCTAAATACTTGGTGGCTAGAAGGAAATCAGTTTACCTTCTTCATACAAGGTTCATCATTTTTCAACTTTAAAAGGTAGTTCAAGTCTGCAGGGGACTGAGTACATAGGTGTAAATACTGCTATCAGTCTAGTGGATGGGGAGCAAATAGGAACTAGTCCAAACACATCCCCTTGATGCTCAGGAAACATATTTCCTGAGCACGAAGAAAAGGATCACTCTGAGCAGGGGTCAAAATGTATTTTTAAAGTCATTCCTCCAAATTACAGAATCTATATAGAAATGTCTCTAAATACTGATGACATCAGATAAGAGCTGTCAGGTCAAAGTGGACTTCACCGTATAAGTGTTATTTTCTTTTTTTCAGATGAGGATTTGAAACTGAGCCTATTCAATTCCCATTGCATCAAACACTCCACAATTCAGAGCTTCCGTGGAGCTGTTAACAGGAGTTTTCATTGACATTTCATATTTATTTTACAGCTTGGTGCTGTAGAAACAGTGCTTGACATGGAGTCAGTAGGCTTAAGTTCAAATTTCATCCCATCTCAGACACCTCCTAATTGTGTGACCTTGGGAAAATTACTTCCGCACTCTGAACCTCAGTTCCTTCACCTATAAAATGGAGATCAAAGAGGAAAAAGACGGAGAAGTGGTCTGGATTTAGTGATAAGGGGGTCTTTGGTGACCTTTGAGAAAAAAATGTCAGTAGAGTGATATGATATAGCAGATTGTTGAGTCCCTGCCCCTGCAGATTAGCAGCAATTAGCGGGTCATATACTACCTTTAGTGTTCCAGACTTATTTTGAGGAAAGCACTTTGCTAACCCTAATGCACTCTAATATGTTAGCTATCATTGTTGTTATATAACAATGTTTTACATAGATATAGAAAATTACTGACATCTATATAGCAATTTAATGTTTGTGGAGCACTACAGTTACATTATTTCATTTTACCTAAAAATCTATCTAGCATTCCAACTCTGAACATTCAGAAGAATTTTGTAGTTGTTTACTTGCTTATCAATATTCAATATGGTTTTTGAAAAGTTCACTCTGGACTTTTCTTTTGTTTCTAGGTCCCTACTAGTGGAAAAATGACCAGTCCAAAGAGGAATATGGACAATTCAGAAAATAGGTTCCCTCAGGCTTCCCCATCCACCAAACCAGTTACACCTTCACCAAAGGGAGAGTTGGACAAGTCCTCCATGACCCCAAGCCCAAGAATGTCACAAAAAAACTACTCCAAAACCCCTGCCACATCTAAAATCAAAAAGAAATCATAAGGTATCCTTTATCTCTGTGCAGCACAGGGCCAAGGCTCGGATTCCTTTTGGTGGAACAAGGGTATAAGGGACAAAACGAACAGGGCTACGTTGAGCCTTTTAGCTCTCCTCCCCCCTGTCAGGGCAGAATTCTCTGTCTGCATCAGCTTAAACCTGAAGCTCTTTCTAAAGCAGCATGTATCCTGTTAACAAACACTCATTAACAGCAGGGTTGACAGAGCAGAGCAGTCGCTGACCAGAGGTATATGTAAGTATTTTTTTTAGCCTGAGTCGGAAGGCCCCCTTATGAGGGTTTCACGAGCCCTCCTGCTCTCTGTTTTTACCTAAGATTCTTAAATTTGGCCACAAATATTTATAGGGAAAAGTGTGAGAGGGCAGAATTGGTCCCTGGGGATTCTGCTACTTGTGTGCACTTTGCCCTGGAGGACTTTGCTAGGAAAATGCTTGTCACCTTGCTCTGGGAATACAGCACAAGGTCTTCAGCCTTGTTATCAACAATGTATCATTGTTCTTTTAGGTCATCTTAGATTACTTAAACAACTCATTTTAAACCTGGAAAATAGGAGGGTTTTTTTTTAACTACCTGCTGTTATCTTCCCAGTTGTATTGAGTAAATCAATAAAAACAGATAATACCCATTCTAGTTAACTTTTGCATAAAAGAGGAGAGGATGAACATATTGAGATTGGCTGAGCTCATGGACAGATTCTGAACTTGTTCTGCTGCTAAAAAGGGGATGTCTATTTTTCTGTGTGCAGAATTTCTTTGTGGCTAGTCAGTGTATTGAACTGAGAAACGATTTCCAGAAGGTTTTGTTTAATTTCCCTTAGACTTGTGTCACAAGCATCTTCTAGCCAGCTGGCTGAGGGTTTGCCATCTGAGTCTGTACCAAACAATTAGATGCTTCTGCAGGCCTCTCAGACTAATTAGAAACAGGCCACAAGGAAGAAGCAGTTACTTTTCTCCTCATCAAGAGTAGTAGCCTGGTTTCATTCCAAACCCTTCTTATGAATCATCTCAGAGTCTTCTAGCAGGAGTGAAAACTAGAAGCCAATGTGAACTTAGGGGGCCTTGTGTATTTACCCAATGGCCAGAGGCAATAAGGTTAGTCATCTGCAGAATGGAACCTCCTGGCTATCAATGGCTCCATTGTCCATCCTATTACCCAACTGGATAGTTCTGCCAGTATAGTTGGTGGCCCCGGGGGCTGTCCTCAGTGATTGGCCCCTCCAACTTCACCCTAATGGGCTTAACTTTCCTTTCCAAACTGGATTTAGTAGAGCTTCCTCCAAAGGCCTTCTGATCCCTGATTAGACCACTGGGGGCCCACCAACCCACACACCATCTCTGTTAGCCTTTAGCCTTTCTTCAGTGCTAAGTGAACCCATCTTTGAAGAACCAGTTTCTATTCACCCGATTAGGAAGGTGGCCTCATTAGACAAGTGGATATCACCCTCACCTAATAATACTCAAAAAAGTGTAACCCACCAATCTTTCATCTTCCACATAAAAGTTCCTGTAGGGTACCACCCCTGATGCCCCAGAGTCTGGCCAGGGCTTTCTGCGGAAAAAAATAAGGCACAGCCCCCGCTTTGATTCTGCCTTTGGGTTTTAACTGTCGATTCCCAGGGCCTGAAAATGAAGGTTCAGTGCCCTCAGCCTGCTCTTAATTTTTACAGCAATCTAGTTTAGAGTCATGCCTTTCTGAGGATAGGAAGTGCTGCTGTTAAATTGGGTACTATTACTCTTTGGTCCTGAGAAATTAGTTATTCCACTCAGTAGGCTTGAGTTGAGGTCCAGAAGAAACCAGCTGTTTGAGAAATAAAGCACTATTATACTATATAAATTTACATATGCTCTTCCCTACCCTAGTTCTATTTAAAGTTTTCTGTCAGTCACACATATTTAGCTAAGATCACACCATGGGTGAACTCTTCTTTTAAGGTTACTTTTAAGTATCTCTTAAGTATCTTGGCCATATCTTCTTCCTGCCCTGCTATTAATATGCTACCTGCTGTCAGGATTGTGAACCAACTATTCCATTTCATGTTGGCTTCTGATGACCATAAGCCAACTGCTGGTTGCTTTAATTTTCTCGGCAGCACTTATGTCCCATGAATCCTAGAGCAAGAGAGGCTCTGCTGTGTCACAGAGAGGCATAATCAGTCAAGGCAAAAAAGTAGGTATGTTGTCCAGGCCGTGTAAATGCAGACCAAACACCAGCTCAGGTAAGAGATAAATAGAAGGATGAGGTCTAGGGTTGTCGGAAGAGGAGAGAGTGAATGTGACTCAATTCAGGGAAAGGACAAGTTAGGGAACCAAATGAAATTGGAGAAGGGATTAAGCCTAAGCAGAAATGCAAGGAAAGGATAACCAGTGAAGACAACAAGCTATGCTATGCTCAGGGAAGGAGCCAGATGACCTCTCATTGCTTTAAAAGGGTAGCCCCTTCCCAACCAGTACCTGCAGAAGGAGCTTCACACTGTCTCAGCCGGTTCCATGTAGAGGCTTGCTTTTGCCTGGACACAGACAAATCTTCTGGACACAGAAGATTCCCCAGAGCAGAAGGTGTGGCCAAATCCTCCATCCATTTTAAATAAGAATATTTCAATGGCGTGTCTGAATGCTGAGTACAGCTAAAGCCTCTCTTTGCTTTTGAAATACTTTAATTTAATAATTCTATTTGACTCTAACATGGAAGCTCCAGGTTAGGTGAATTCAAGGCATTTGATCTTTAATATGCATTTCTGCAAGAACCAAACCTGGTTTGGGAATCCAGAGTAATGCTGTATTCAGACATGCTTTCTTCTCATCAAGTAAAGCTTTGGAATTGACCGAGGAAGTTTTGTTCTCAAAAACTTCTCTGGATGGAGATCAATATATGTCTTTGGAGGGGAGGAAATAATCCCTTCTTTCATACCCTTCCCCTTTTATACCCTTCCCATCACTTCTGACAGTGCCTGGGAAACCCAAAGCATAGAAAAGTACCCAAAAGAATACATTCTGTGTTTAAATACAGCCTCAATGTCTCTGGCTTTTTAGAACCATTCTCCCCAGCCTTGCTTCTAGAAGACAGAACTACAGACAGAAGACACTTGAGGACTCTGGTATAAGTCATAAGTCACCAGAGAACCAAACCCAGGCCCACCAAGATACAAAACCCCAAAATTCATGAATGCCAAACCCTTGATGGCATGTACTTCAGGTCTTTCTAACTCTGGTCTCTGAGTCAAGAAGATACCTCACTACCTGAAAGGACACAATTAGTACCTTTTGGGGCCCCTTTCAGCAGTGGAGATGACCCTGGGGGCAGAAGTTGACCATTACAATCTCTCTACCTGCAGGATTTCCACACTGGCCATTGACTCACTAGGCCAACTTGTGGCTATGGCGTCACGTACAGCAAAGAAAGATAAAAACTTTGAGTTCCTTATGCTTTTCCTGCAACCCCAATTCACAAGTGCTGGAGTCATTTAGAAAAGCTAGTAGTTGGTAATTCACTATTCAGGAGGGTTCTCACAGAGTTAAATTTTCCCTTTCAGGATCCTGAATTCTTTTCAGTAAGCTGGCTTAAGTTTGATTTTGATTTCCGTTCAGGAAATGACTGTCACTTTAGTGCTTATTGGTGAATCCAGTTTTCTTCACCTTTTTTTCTTCAAAGTAAGGCTATGTACAGTATTTGTCTTATATTCTTGTGGTTACTTTCCTCAGCCCTATTCAGTAGCTAGTACAATAAACTTTTCTCTACCTCACTAGCAAAAAATGTGAATATTTTATTATCTGGAATTATTAGGCACATTCAATAAGTAGAAGGTTGACAGTGTCACAAAGAACTCCCCTCTCCCCCTCAGCCTACAAAGGATTGGTGCCTGAAGGTTTAGTTAATTACTGTGGCTTCTGTAAGCGGTCCCACAGCCTCTGTGCTCTCTCAAGGAATTCGTAGAGATCCATGGGCTGGCTCTGTGTACTCCCCTCCCTAAGTCATTGTTGCATCTTAGGCCCTAGTAACCCTTATTATCTCCCCTCCCCATAAAAGGCTTGTACACTCTCTTGGCATCCTACTTCCTCTTACAGAGACAGAGGCTACAGAAAACCAGCTGATTTCTATAGGAGTAGGGTCTAAAGCCATAGCCCATGACCTCTCTTAAACTTGCAGAATATTCTAGCTATATGCAGTGAATTCCACTTCTGAGCTGTTTGTATGTAGAAGAGTTTATTATGCATGCTCTGAGTCAACCAGACCTGTCCTGGACCAGCCAACCGATACCACTCTCCCCATGCCTGCCTTACAAATGTCTAGTGACATCTGAGTGAACGAGGGCTTAACTGCTGGCTGGCACCAAGTGCCCCAGAAATTGAAGGTCTTTGACAAGCTGGATTTTAGCATTTATTAGTGAAAGGGTGTCTCTGAGTTTTCCAAAGAAATGTCCCTGTCCACCTTCATTTGTCCTGGATATTTTTGCTCTCTCACAGTCTAGACCTGTGACTGGCTCTTTCTGAGTTTGGGCATAGACTTCTTAAAGGCTCAGCAGTGACCTAAACCAGTAGAGGCTCTGCATCTACCAGCGAAAGCTCGGCTCTTTCTACCAGGAGTAAGCTCCTTGAGTAGTCTCTGGGCCCTGTGGTTTACAAAAGGAGTAAATTTTAATTCCTGTTAGTCACTGAGAAATTTAGTTGAGAAAGGGCAAAAGCAGGATATAATTCCATTCTGTATTTGGTTTATTGCGTTCTGTACTCTTTGAGTGACAATATTTTATAATAAAGTCTACTTGAAAATGTTTTAAAATCCCATCCATGGTGCCATGATAGTCATTTGCAAGCATAAGGCCTCCAGCAACCTTGGAATGTGCTCCCAACCAAAGAGGGAACAGGGAGTTTGTTTCCTGGTCAGGCATTTCCATAGCTGGGGGCCTTCATGCGTGTGCTGCTCCAGGAGATTGATGCTAGCAGTAAGAAAAGTGTCGTAATTGCCTTTACAGGTCAGCTGGGGGTTGAAGAATCACTGTAACATTCCTATTTCCTACAATTCCTCATCAGACGAGCATGGGCTAGCTGTGCAGCTGAATATATGGCCAGTTGCTGAAGCATTTCACTCCTCCTCCACCTCCGTGGCTGGAGTCATTGCCGCTCTCGCTGTTGATTCTGCCGTAGGATAGCGTTAAGTGGAGTGATGGTGTTTTCCTTATCAGGCAGACAGCATCCTGTTTCAGAGAGCGTAGATCATTCCAAGAGACACAGAAACGGTACAAGATTGGGGGAAAGCGTTCAGTGCCGGTGAGACAGCCGAGCCAAGTTTGATATAGCAGCCCCTCCCAATCAGATAACCGCCTGCTTTAGTTTTGTCCCCAGAGAAGGAAAATGATTCATAATTTAGGATCCTGTCATCTGGTTTAAAACTTAGTTCCTGTGTTGGAAGCTCATAAGTAAGGAAGAATTTCAGACGGGGAACACCAAAACCTCATTTGGACACGCACTCGTTCAAAATAGCAGATTGGTGAGCAGCATCATTTACTTTTTGGGTAGGCTGGAAATGATTTCTCAAAGGTCTGGGCTTTGGCAACAGGCCATGTCATATAGACCATTTCTGTTCCTCCTTACCTGCTAATCCTGGATATTCATACCAAGACTTCTGCCACACAACATCCTGTGCCTAGGCCTGAATCAGAGTCTTCATAAAAACAGAAAGGGTCAGTAAACTCTCCTGTTTGCTTGGAAGGAGAGAGAAGTTCTCCTACCTCCCCACATACACGCCCCAAAGAATTCTGCTTCTTCTAATATCATAAGAGAAAATCTAATAAAAGGGAAAGTTAGTGAAGCCACCATGTCAGAGGACTGGTCCCTGGGTGTTGGTACGTTCTCTTTCTACACAAACTAGCTTCACCATTATTAGAGGATTTCCTGGCTAGTAAAGCTTAAAAGAGAACACCGTATAAAATGGGACAGCTGGATTACATGATCCAAGTGCAAATCAGATGAGCCTATGTGGATAACAAATCTCACAGAAGGCAAAGAGAATAGTTCTTACCTGAGTGTACCTCAGCACACTTCTGTTGACCACCTGGTAAAGCAATCAAGGTTAAAGGAATTATAATGATAATGACCATCTAGGTCAGAGGAGCCCACCTTGTCCCACCTCATAATCTGGCAGCTATAGAGGACCCTAATGATAGGTTGTTCATAACAATGACCACCGTTTTGCCTAGAGGTCCTTTAAAAAGGGGATGGGATTGTGATCTGATAGCTGAAGAACTGGATTCCTGCTACACAGCTACTTGGTAGTAAGAAACATGCTCTGTGTATGTGTGTGCGTGTGCATGTTGCATATGAGAAAAATGCTTCATAAACAAAGCACCAAAGGAATAAGTTTTATCTATCTACGTATACACATAAGTATTCACATCTATACATTGATATGTATCATATAAGACAAATCATGATTTTATAATTCTTTAAGTTTTATGAAGCCCTTTCTTTACAATAACCCTGGGAGACAGAGGAGTATTCCCATTTTATAGATGAGGACAGTGAGGCTGAAAGGTTTCATGAAGGGAGTCACCCAGTCACGGAAAGCTGCAGAACCAGGAGTCAGATTCAGGTCTTCTAAGGCCAAGTCCAGTGTTTTCAGCACATACTACTCTGACTGTCCCCTTGGGCTTTGGTTCAGTTAAATAAATAATGACTGAGGGCCTGCTTTGTGTTCAACACTGTGTTTGACACTGGAGGTGCTACAAAAGAAATTGTCCCTCTCCTCCGGAAGCTAATGGCTTCATTCACACGCTCACAGGATCACAAAAGCAATAAGGAACTGAACTGGGAACAGAGCCTCCCAAGTCAAGGACCTGTTTCCACTGTACTAACTGAATTAATAGAAGTCAAACAGTTGCCTGATAATCTAAGACAGTTGTGGCAACCCCTTGTAGAGGATGTCATAGAAGGAGTTTATAATTCAGGTGACTTCTGAAGCCCCTTCCAACACCAAGATTCTCATTATGTGTGATTACAGGATGAGATGAGTAACACAGACCTAAAGATTAATAAGACCACAGAGGACAGAGAGAACACAGTGTTCAAAAAAGACTTTCTTGGGAAGTGCCCTAAAAGTAGGGTTTTGAAAGATGGATAGAATTTTCCTCAGGGTTATGGGGAGAAATGGGCAAATGCTCTGTGTGGGAAGTTCAGAATGAGTGTGGGCGAGGAGGCTGTAACATGGTTTTCTACATCCTGTAACAGTGATCAAGAAGCCCATCATATCACAGGGCCAGAAAAAAGAGGCTGGTAGTGATGATGACAATGGTGGCAGTGATGGGAATGAGAATGGGGAAGATCCCACCAGATACTGTTTTGAGAGAACATCTCTAGGAGATAGAGGCTGGCCTCATAGTCTCTGCTTCCCATACCTGAATCATGATGACTCCACAGTTGCTACAAGACAGTTTCATATCTTCCAATAAGCAATAAGCCAAAACAATATGACTCAGTGCAGTTTTTCTTCATCCCACCCAAATCAAAACCAGCCACCTTAATTAACAAAGTACCAGACATAGACCTAAATTCACAGAATCCTACAATCTCTGAGCTGAAAGGGATCTCAGAGAATGTTTAGTCCAACTCCCAGCCAGTGTAAGACTGGTAGATCATCCAGCCTGAACATTTCAAGTTGAAGTTACATATATAACAGGTCAGTCCATTCCATTTTTAAACAATTTGGGTTGTCAGGAAGATCTTGCTATTTTGAGCTAAAAGAAGCCTCCCTGTAAACTCGCTCCCTTTACTGCTACTTCTGTCCTCTGAGACCAAGCAGAAGTAATCCTTGGAGTGACAGCTCGTTAAATACTTAAAAGCAGTGATCATAAAACACCCTCCCAAATACACACACACACACACACACACACACACACACACACACACACACACACACTCCAACTCACAAATCTTCTCCAGGTTAAACATTCCTAGTTTCTTTCCCTATTCCTCATATAGCATGGGCTCTCGTAACATGCCCCAGCCTCATTGCCAGTTTTCCAATTCCAGCTATTCTTCTTGAAGTGTGGCACCCCCATAACGGAATACAGCACTCTCTATGTGGTCTGATCAGAAGACTACAGGCTTATCACTTCTTTTGCTGTGGATGGTAGACTTCTGTTAATGCAGCCCAAGATCACCTTCTTGTCAGCAAGTAGTCTTGGTAGATCTAATTCAAGTTTAATAGAACAAGCTTTAATTAAAATGGGTCCCTGAAGCATATTTCATATCAGTGTTCCTGTACCACGGTATAGATGATCACAGCAGAACCTGGTTCCAATCGGAGTGGAATGGGGGGACTGACAAGAGCACACACAGATATCTCCAAGTCTGCATTTATTAGCAGAGTCCTGAGATTACGGGGAAAGAAAGACTCATTTTCCTAAGTATCAGGCTTGCTAATTATCTATTGAGATATATAGAGAGAGGAGAAGGCGCAAACTGAATTATAGGGGAGGTTGCCAGAGAATGCATTAGGGAGCTAGTTATCGCTGGTGTTTCAGGAAGAAAAATACGAAATGAATTGGAAACATTGTACAGTACCACATACAATCCAACAAAGAGAAAATGGGGCAAGCAAATGTTTGTGTGTGTGAGGACATGTGGGAACATGCATATGTGAGTACGTAGGTGAATATGAGTACAAACCTTGTATGTGTAAGCATGTGTTATATGGGAACACTGAATACATGTATGTGTAAGCATTTGTGTAGATGTGTGGACAAATGCTTTGTGTGTATTGTATACGTGACTATGGGCATGTAAGAGCACATATAGGTACAGATGTGAGAACGTATGAGTACACATATATGAACCTGTGTGCCCACCTGTGAGTAGCGATTTCTGTAAGGCAAAAAGGTTGTGTTGGAATGACCGTTGCTTCTGAGGAAAGAAGATACTGTTGGTGTAAGTTGATGGGGATATGGAATAACTTTTGAAAGGCACTGTAATTGAGATCAGGGCCCTGAAGGCTCTCCATAGTGCTCAAAGTTTCCATGCCAGTGGTTGGTAAGTCTTTACCCTGGCTGCAGGAGGTTCCTCCAGCAGAGGCGATGGATAGGGTGTGAGAATTCCAGGAATATCCAGCTAAGGTTCGTTCATTTGATTCCCTGGCAGTCTGAAAGAAAGATTGTAGCAGACATAAAACTGCGAGGTAGGGGAGGAGCTAGACAGGAGCCCCATGCCCTTCCCGTGGAAAAGAGAGACTTCAGTGGGTAAGAAATTAGCCCTGGGTTGGAAGAGTAAAATCACTTAAGACAGCCCAGCTCCCAGTGTGAGAGCCATGAGCCAACCATGGAGGCTAATGGAAAAAGCACAAGAGATCTAGGTTCTGTGACCTTGGTTATCACATCCCTTCTCTGGACCTCAATTCGCCCATGAAATCAGTTAATACCTGCTCTATTCAAGAACTTTTACTTGGTTCTCTTTGTATAAAGAGGAACAAGATGTGTCTCAACCCTGCCCTCAGGAGCTGGTGATAGGTGCACAGATAGCTACAATACAAGTTAGAGCGTGGATGGGGCAGAAGCGTGGCTTGAGAAATTCCAGTAAAGAGGGGTGACTTCTATTTTTTTTATCTTTTAAAAATTTTTTCCCCAGTTACATGTAAAAACAATTTTTAGCATTCATTTTAAAAACTTTGAGTACCAAATTCTCTCTTTCCCTCCTCACTCCCACCCATTGAGAAGGGAACAATTTGATATAGGTTATATGTGTGTAGTCATGTGAAACACTTCCATAATAGTCACATTGTGAAAAAACAT